CACCCAGTCAGGCTCTAGCTGTGCTTACAAGGGCCTGGTACTGGAATTTACTGGAGCCCTGAATGGGGCAGCATCCAGCCTTCCCCTTGCACAGCTGAAGCACCAAACCAATGAGTGTGCTCATTATTTCCCCCTCCAGAGAAGACCAAAGCCTCTGCTGCAGCACATCTTCCATTCAGACAGCAACGACAGGGAGAGAGAAACTGGAGCCACGAGCAGGTTCTGATTTACTCTGCAAGATATATATATATATTTTATTTAACAGCCCTTGAATTTGCTTAGTGTTGGGACCACAGAAGCCAGGTTTCTGACTGTGTTCCCAAGGCACAAGGCAAAACATACTCAGTTTTGTCTTTCTTGTGTCTTATTTGAAGATGCATTCAGGTGGGAGGAAGGGCTTTTCTCTGGCTGCCACTGCAATGCCACACGTGATGCATGGCACGGACTGGAACGTTATTGTAGGGGAACTGAAAGGGCTGAGCAGCTACATGGAACAGAGACTTACCACCAATTCATTTAATATTCCTCAGCACATTATCTGTTTCACTATTTTGCTTTATTTGGTAGTAAAAATACCTGGTAAAAAAATAAACACAGACCCTCCTCCCCCTCCATTCCTTAAGCTTAGTCCACGCAGGATGATTTTTGCATTCAGGTGGATTAGATGGCAGGACCAGCACTGCATCCCTGCAGAGTCCCTTAGGGAGTTCCAAAGAGGACAGGGGACAATACCTTCAGGGTGAGAGTCTGGAAAACTGGCACTTTCCAAATCCTAGCCTCTCTGGCTAAGGCATTTTCCAGGCAGGAGACAAGTCTCGAGCTCTCTGGAGGTCCAGGGCACTTCATAGCAACTCTTTGAGCCAGTTTCTCTGATGGGAGCCGCTGTCAAAATAAATAAATTAAAAAAAATAATAATTATAAAGTAACATCCCAGCTTTCCAACACTGAGAACTAAGTCAGGAGCAGCCATACAACTCCAGTTTGCAGCTGGAGTGATCCTGTCATCCATTTTCCCCAAGGGGAAGCTCATGATGAAAGAAAACATGCCAGATGGCTAAACAACAGCTAGTCCAGCTTTCCTTGTACCTTGTTTCTCACATGCAGCTTTCCATTTGCAGAGCTATTCGGTTACAACCCGTTATCACCAGTTTCTGGCAAATAAAGGTCCATTGTTTACCTACAAAAGCTCCAAGATGACGGTTCTTAGGAGGTTTATTAACTCCCAGTGAGGAGTTTTCCTTAAAGCAGTCTCATCTTTCTCTGTTGCTGTTGAAGGCACAAAACAGCAACACTCTGGAAATACCATTCTCCAGACAAAGCACAAATTTACACGAAATAAACCTCTCTGAATACCAGCAGGTAAGAACCAAGCAGTGAGAACATCCCACCCTGTAACTGAGTATTTCAGTGCTTACATTTGGTGTCTCTCTAACAGCAGAAAGAGGATGGTACTAGACCTAAAACTGCTGCTTTCCTTTGTAAGGAGTGGTGGACGTGGGCTTCCTCATCGGTGTTTTCTGGAAGCTCACACCATTATCTCCACAGCTCTATTAAAAAACCCCAAAGTGACCTGAATCCTCTAGAAACTGTTGTACTTTTCTAAAGCTGAAACTCTGCGATGTGTGTGTGTTTCACTGAAAACAGGAACCACACATGACTTTGGCTTTTGCTGCCACTGGATGTCATAGCATCGTAGAAGCGTTTTGGTTGGAAAAGACCTTTAAGATCATCGAGTCCAACCCTAAACCCAACACTGCCAACTCCACCTCTCAACCACGTCCCCAAGCACCACATCTACATGGCTTTTAAATACTTCCAGGGATGGGAACTCCACCACTTCCTTGAGCAGCCTGTTCTAATGCTCGATAACCCTTTCAGCAAAGAAATATTTCCTTATATCCAACCTAAACCTGCCCTGGTGGAATTTGAGGCTGTTTCCTCTTGTCATGTCACTTGTTACTTGAGAGAAGGTGGAGAGAGCATCCAAACCTGACCTCCTGGACCATTTCAGAGCTGGAGAAGATGTCTCTGCCCAGCCTGATGCACAGAAGAGTTTGTCCTTCTGGAGATGGAGGGGAAAAAAGGAATTAATTAAAAAAAAAAAGGGGGAATTAATTAAAAGCTTACCCTCTGGCTAATTTGAAGGCGACTGTCACCGAGAACGACACCGAG